CACGGGACATCACGGGACCACTCGGGGAACCACATCGCTCTCAGTATCGATCTCAAAATCGATCTCAATATCGATCTCACTATCGATCTCATTCAACGGGACACCACGGGGCACCACGGGACAGCTGTCGATCTCACGATCGATCTCAGTATCGATCTCGCTTTTTGGGACGCCACTGGGCACCACGGGACACCTCGGGGCACCACACCGATCTCAGTATCGATCTCACTATCGATCTCACTATTTGTCTCACTATCGATCTCACTAACGATCTCACACAACAGGACACCATAGGACACCACGGGACACCACGGGACACCTGTCGATCTCACTATCGATCTAACTATCGATCTCGTTTTTTGGGACACCGGGACACCACGGGACACCTTGCGTCCAGACATCCCAACACAGCTCTGGCAAGTCCCATTCTAAGAGAGGGGGGGCCGGCGGCATGGGGGAGAAACCCTTACGGATAATTGACAAATTCATCAATTACTCAGTCAATTAAGACATGCATTAACCAGTCAAGTCATTAATTCACAGAATCCTGAACGTGACCTTTTGATTGTATATGCATTGTCCTTCACACTGTCAAGCCACCTCCTCCCTCAGCCAGCCATCCCACTCCCCCCCCCAACAATCTTCATCCTACTCCCCCCTTCCTCCCTACCACCCACATTTTCCTCATCACTTACTCAATATGAGTACTCTCCGCGGATCCTGCTCGATCGGGGCCCCTTTTACTCTAGCATGCTGTGCGTCCAGAAGGTGGTTTTGAATATGCGCTTGTCAACGGGAGCGCCTTCAGTGTTTCGAAATGGTGCTCCCGCTGCAGAGCTGGTCTCGTTCTGGGATTGACGCACTGCTCCCGTCGTTCAGGATGGCGCTCTCGCCTTCGCGCGGGCCGCAATGCTGGATTCGAGTCCTTCCTCGTCGCTGCCGCCCCGCTCAGTTCCCCTCCGCCGCCTTCTACCGGTTCTCCTGCCCCTCCCGCTCCTCCAGCTCCTGCTCCTGCTGCTGCCCTTCTTTCTCGTCCTCATACCTCCTGATCCTCATCCTCTTCCTCATGCTCATCCTCTTGACCTTCCGCCACGCTCACCTCCTCACCCGTCGGCGGAGAGAGAAAAACCAGCGCAATGGGAAGAGATGATTGGGTGGGTCGGATGTCAGATGTGGCGCGAGCGCACCTAGCTTGTCCAGGCCTCCGCTCCCTCCCGCCCCCCCCCCCTCCCCCCACATTCTCTCCCCTCTCCCGGCCCTCCTCCCCTCCCTCCCTCCTCCCTCTCCTTGCCTCCCCCCCTCTCACCCTCCCCTCGCGCCCTGCCTCCCTCCAAACCTCCCTCCCCGCCCCCCTCCGCCCGGGACCCCCTGGCCGGCGAGCCCAGGCCACGGCCCCGAGGAGGATGCCCAGGGCCCCGATCGGAGGCGAGCCGATGGAGGCGATCGCACCGGGGCCGGCCGCTGCTGCCAGGGCGGGGGGGCAGGAGGGGAGGGAAGGGGGGAGCTAGATGCAAACCCCTGGACTTGTCGAGACAGCCGGCGGACTGGACGCTGACGCGCAGCAGCCCGTACACGGCGGACAGGAAAAAGGACACCCGAGGAACCGAAATGATGCCACGAAATGATGCCACGAATGAGTTCCTCCATACAGCGGGAAGCCCGTTACGTAGAACACCGGGGCAGTTGCATTCGAGAATGAGGCGCCACATCCACATCGCAGCAGGCAGCAATCAATACATTCTACTCCTTCCCTTCCGACCAACCAATCACGAGAAACTGGACGCCATAGACTTCCGCGTTGCTGTACAACGGATGAGGAAGCTCACGACGCTGACTGCGGCACACCAGCAACTGCACAACATCCACCGCCAGATATCGCCCAGTCTCCTTCTACAAACTCCGCTGCCCACAACCTTCAAGTGCTTCCAGGGACGGGCGGGGGGCAGACCCGCCGTGGTCTCCGCTTCCGCCGCCCCTGGGAAGGACCGCACCGAGGATGCACAAGAGAAAAGCAAGCGAGAACGATCCGACCAGAAGCAGCCCGATGATGGAGCCCAAACAACAAGTGATGAACCCAGGGTGAAGAGCTTGTATTGCCTTTGCGCGAGTCCTTGTGATGTTCAATGCTCGGGACGCGAGACAGCATGAAATACCTGTGTGCACATTGTCCACCTGATCGGCGAACAACAGCGGTGTCCGCGGGGAAGGTGCAGGGACCGTAGCACTCGAAACCGACCTCCTCGCTGTTGCTGCTGCTGGAGGCTATGGATGAATCCATGGCTGGAGCGGCAGCACCCAAGCACCACGCGGAGGCGCAAGGAGCACACATGCCCAGTCAGACACTCTTCTCCCAGCAGGCCCTCGCGCCCATGCCACGCAGGTTGGAGCCGACCGGAGGTGCCCAGGGGACCTGAGCCGAGATGCCTGGGAGGCAAGGGGAGGGAGGCAGGAGGAATTAGGGATGGAGGGAGGAAGGAAGGAAGGAAGAGGTAGGGAACGAGTGAGGGGGGAGGAGACCTTTTGGCCAGACCCGAAGGGTTGCAGGCATGTGCCCCTGCGACATGGCAGCGCCACAGGCTGCCGCCGCCGCGGAGTGGGAGGGAGTGGGCACTGTACTTCCACCGTCGAACGCAGCCTGGCGCAGGACAGCGGACGCTCTGCGTGGAGACCAGACAGAATCAGAGAAGCAGGGAAGAGGAGGAGGAGGAGAAGGAGGAGGATAAGGCGGAGAGGGGAGGAGGAGGAGAAGGAGGAGGAGAGGGGAGGAAGGGAGGGGCAGAGGGAAGGAGGATGGATGAGCAAGGGAATGGACATCATATTCGACTTGGCCAGGGTTGCCTAGCGACGGGGGAGATCCCTCACCTACCCCAGGAGACTCCGTTCCGTTTTGGTCTGGTTGGGGCCTCCTGCCTCGCATGGTGCCAGCTGCTGCTGTTGCGAAGGGGGGAGGGCGGTGGAGGAGGGCAGAGGGGGAGGGGGAGCCTAGACCTTCGGTGGCAACTCATGGGAGCCTCCCATACCACCTTGTTCTCCTTTGTTAATCGACGCTAATTGACGCCAGTCGACGTAACTCGACCCTTCTCAACGCAATTCCTCGCCAACCGACTCAAAGTCGACGCCTCATCATCGACTACCAGACGCTAATCGGTGCTACCCCTTGACTCAAGACGGAATCACCCGAGGGTGCAGAATGCCCCATTGACTTGCTACCGAACCTGATCCTCTCGCATCGCGACCAAAAAACACGAGGGATTTTTTGTTGGGCCGATCCAAAGGTCGTCAAGTGACGACTGAATGACGACAAGCTGGTCGCATGGGAGGGGGGGTCGAGACCTCCACGGGTCCGCGTTGCGAAAACAACCGCCACGACGTCGGGAGTCTGGGAGGGAGTAGGGCAGGAGCGGGTAGCTTCGAATCGGGAATCTGGGTCGGGTCGGGAATCGTGTGTCGCCGATCGGCGCGGGCCTCCCGCCACCACTCCCACATCCCACATAGACCAGATCTTGCCTGCTTTTTCCAATTGGTATCTGGCGACTCTGGTCAGGAACCCTGCCCCATGTCCGCTTGCGCGACTGGCGAAACCAGATCGGCTAAGCTCTGGCCCAGACCTCGAAATCGAATCGAATCGGCCGCGCCAGGACGCACAGCAACGCCGTGCATGCATCGGGCCGCTCCGGAGTGTGAAGACCGCTCCTGGCTGCTCCCGGGGTACCGTCGAGGCCAGCTGGGAGCATTCGGGGGGGGGGGCTGTGGAGGCCGGCGAGGACTACCCGGGTGGGGAGGGGGGGGGGCGTCTGTGCGCAACCCGAAGCCTCAGCAACGAACACCCAGGCATGCGACGCTTCGTTCCTTTTTGAAACGCGGTCCCCGGAGGCTGGGCTGTGCATCCTGAGTCGCTTCTCTTCAAGGTCCCATGCAGGGCCCGGCGAGGGCCCCCCGAGGGCGACAGTGGCGAAAACCCTCCGCCCCGAATCTCTTACGACGCGATCCTGTCTGGCCACGGGTCTGCCACCGCACCGTTCCGGGGCTCCCTCCCCGATGCGAGCGCCGGCCACCGCCCCCCTGTGGGTGGGGGTGGTGGGGGGGACCTCCAGGCCGGCGCAGCGAGGCGGGCGGCGCGGCACTCGGAGGGGGCGCAGCCCCCTGGGGAGGAGCTCGCCCTCGCTCAGACGTCCATTCCACGTGCGTTTTTCGGTTTCGTGCGTGCTTTGTTTGCCCGATGATCCAGGATGCTCCTCGATGGTCCCCGCCGAGAAAACAGGCACGCGGCCGAGCGATGCCCCGGGAGAGGGGGGAGGGAGGAGGAATTCAAGAATTCGGGACCCTGACGTAGTCAGATCCACAAGGCCTGCATTACTTGCTGAAGAGGGCCTTTGGCCTGAGGCCCCTGTGAGGGCGCTTCAGGAGCTCCCGCCTCTTGGCCGTGACAGCCGAGGGAAGGGCAGGAGGAGGAGGAGGAGGAGGAGGAGGAGGAGGAGGAGGAGGAGGAGGAGTGCGTCTTAGGGGCAGCGCGGGTGGGCTGGGGCTTTTTTGCTGCATGTGCCAAGACGAGAGGACGAAAGAAAAAAGGGGAGGAGGTGAGGAAGGAAGCGAGGGAGGAGAGGAGGGAGGAGGGGAGGAAGACGGAGGAGAGATGCACAGGGGGGGGTGGCGGAAGGCGAAGAATGCAGGAGGAGGGAGTGATTTAGGAGGCAACTCCTGGGGGATGACTGTGGGAACGAAACTAGGCAAGCCTACAAGGATATCGGGCCAATATGGGCCACATCAGGCCCTAGAATACGTCGAACTTGGCGGGATTAGGTCGGATTATGACGAGCTTCACCCACTGCTATACCAGCGCCGATGCTGAATCGAACCTCCCAGGGGTTGCTACCTAGAGGGCGAGAGGGATGGGGGAATGAGGAGGAGGAGGAGGAGGAGGAGGAGGAGGAGGAGGAGGGAAAGGAGGAGGATGGCAACCCAAGCCCGTCTGGCGATCGGTCAGCGGCTACCCGCCCGGCTTGGTTCGGTTGCGGCTGCTGCTGTCGTCGCTGCTGTACTCGTCGTCCGCCCTCCGGGGGGGAGCCGAGGCGAAACCGGGCGCTCGCGGCGCGCACACTGGGGTGGCACGAGGCAAAAGACCTCTTAGAAACCCTCCTGGGCTCTAAAAAAAAGCCTCCGCATTGGGGCCTGCTTCGGAAGAGGACGCGGCACCCATACCTCTACGCACGCTGCCCTCGCTTCCGCCATTTTCGGCCTCCTGGGAGGCCCTCGTCGCCACAGCTGCACGCGCCTCGAACTTCTGGTCAGAAAGCACCCCGGGAAGGGTCCAGGGAGTGGCGGTATCGGTACCTTTTGGCTCCCCCACTTCTGCGAAAACCCTTGCATTTCCGAGAGGCACCCGCTTTCTCAGAAGGCCGCCCCCTCACGCCGCACCCCGCCTGTGAGCGCCGCAGGATAGTGCCCACGCGTGCCATCTGACCATCACGCGCACTGGTGATGAGGACCAGAGGAGGAGGGAGGAGAAGGAGGAGGAGGAGGAGAAGGAGGAGGAGGGAGGAGGAGGAGGAAGAGGAGGACCAGGGGAGCCCTTGAGGGCCGCTGCCCCCAGCTACCTCGTCCCCGCGGCTGGAGGGCCGCCCTTCGCGGCCCCTACCCCCGGGCTGCTCCAGAGCTCGCCCCCTCCACCCTCCAGCGCGAGCGCCAGCACAACCATCAGCACAACCACCAGCAGGCCGCTCCTGCCTGCACGAGTTTCACGCCCCTCCGGGACGAGCTACCAATGCCACTCAACGGGCGCGCTTGCGACCAAGACAGCGCCGAACGAAAATCGTGCGCCCACTGATCCTCGCCATCATTACTCGTTCTTCATGCTCCTGACCCCCCTTCTCCTACATCCTACTGCCGCTCCCTCCCGTCCTCCTCCTCCGCCTCCTCTCCCCCCCGATCCTCCTAATTCGTCTCCCGCGCTCTAATGCGCGCAAGAGTTCTCAGGCGGGGGGGATGAGGAGGATGAGGAGAAGGCGAATGAGAACGGAAGATGGTGAAATGAGGAGGACGGGGAGGGGGAGACAGAGGGAGAATGAGACGGCCCTCTCCTTTCTACCTCTTCTCCTCTCTCAGCCTCCTCCTCCTCCTCCCTCCTTCTCCTCCTGCTCGTCCCCTCTCATCTCCCCCCTCCCTCCCCCCTCACCCCTCCTCCTCATCCCTCCTGCCTCGTGCCCTGCCTCTCAACAGGCGACGACGACGTCAACGACGACCACCGCGGCGCTGACGAGAACGAGGAAGGTGGCGACGCCGCAATCGGCGTTATCGCCGACCTTGATTGGCCCATTCCCTAAAGCCGCACATTTCATCCCGAATCGTCTTGTTACGGTCTCGGGGTCCAGCGAAGGCCCTCGGGAACCGAGAATGGCAAACAAAATCCATCCTTTCTTTAAACACGTCGGCGGCGGCGGCGACGACGGCTGTGAGACCCGGATGTGCACACATATCCGCCGTGGGGGGGACTGATCTTCCAGAACACGAGGTCGCCAGAATATTATGTTGGACCCAAGGGGGCCCGAATGTATCTGCACACGCCAGTTCCTGAAATCCAGGAATACTCGGCCTCTTAGGCTATGGATATACCACTCCAAGCCAGAACACCAGAAGCCAAAAACGCTGCCATCTCCCGGGAGGCCGATGTGTACTTCAGATGGCCTTCCGCCGGCAGAGCCGCCCCCGTTGCACGTTCGCCCACTTCGAAGGAGCAGGAGGAACAGACAACCTCTCGACCCATCGAAGACGAGGCCCTCACTGGAGCGTCCCATGTCTGCAGTCACTATGAAGGAAGGGGGTCCTGTTGTAGAGGCCTCCCACGTGGGGTCCGAGTAGATGAGGTCGAAAGATCGGACCACATCGCGGATGCATCAGCGACGTCGGCGCGGAGAGAATCGGGCTCCACTTCGAGCTGCATCGCCGACGCATCGGCGATATGGAGCGATCCTTCGACCTCATCTACTGGGACCCAATTCGGGAGGCCTGGATGTAGACCCTCGGGCGTTCTCATCCGGGTATTGCGAGCAGCAGGACCTGGTTGAGTGAAATGTTACCCAGGCGCGCCCCCTCGCCACAGCCCGAAGGCATCGCTCGACCGCCTACTGGCCAAACTCGTCCGCCTGCTGGCCAAGACAACATGAAAAAACGATCAGCTTTTCCCCGAACAACGCTTGCACGAATGCAATCTCAAGAATTGCACAATTGCCTGTGGGCGAACAACTACCATTGCTACAACGGCCAAAGATTGCCGGCGACGGCGGGGGAAGAACAGCGCGGTGGCGAACCGATGACGACGAACGACGACGACCGACGACGACGACAATCCCTGGGGGAATGGACAAGAAATCTGTCGCCGCCAGGAGTGCTGTTCCCCGCCCCAGGGGAGGACTGGGAGGGGGGGCCCTTTACTATCCCGGGGCTCACATGAAAGGGACCACCGCGGAGAATTACTGGAAGATATGGGGCGAATCTGCTGCCGATTTCGGTGGACGGTCGGTTTCCCCGTTGCCCGAGATCACAAGGCTTTGGTCGATCTTTGCAGGCGAATGCGGCGCGCGGCCGGTTTCCTCCCCGAGTTCTCATGCCCCTCCGAGCGTTCTGGTCGAGACCCTCGCCAAGCATCAGGGATGCCCCGAAGAGGACCCAGGAGACCTCCAAGGGGGCCACAAGACGGCTCCAGGTAGACCGCAAGAGGGCCCAACATCAGTATGCAGGCATCCTGGCTTCGGGCCCTCTCCTTTTCAGGGTTCACTCGGAGCCCTCTTGGAACCCTGCAGGCGGCGCTGCCCTCCCGCACGGCGTCGCTGCCCCACCGGGCCCGCACCCTCCACCCTGACCAGATCTGCCGTCGCCCGAAAAAGAACAGGCTGCGGCAGACCTGGTTCCATGATTCCGACCCTGGTCGAGCACCCCCCGGTGCAGAGCGCCAGTGCCTACGCCGTTCCCAGGGCAGAATCACCAACTGGAGCTGCCGTCGCCGAGCGTTGTCAGGTGCCTTGTCAGCGGGTAATTGCCAATTTGAGGCTACCAGCGGGGCGCCGACATCCCGGCTGCCAATGGGGGGGCTGCCGAATGAACCTCCATGCCCCCTCCTGCCCCCCCGCGCACCCTTTCACTTACCAGTGCAATGCTGGGCGCGTGCGAACTAGCTGCACTCTCTGCTCCTGGCAGGGGAGAACGCCGAACTTTTTTCCTCACCTGAGTCCCCGTTCCTCCTAGCCCTCGCATGTGATTCTGAGGGGGCCTTGGCTTTTGTCACAATAGGATGAAGAGGAGAGGATGCAAAGAAGGCCGGCGAGGACGAGCGAGCGGCCTGTCGTCCACTCCCTGCTGGGAGCCGTCCCCTGATGGCATGCAAGAGATACTGCCAAAGCAGGCCGTGGGTGGTGAAACGTGTGGGACGCAGCAGGAACATAGTTATCATGAGTCAAACATCAACCCATCTCTTGAAAGAGAGCCAGCGAGGACGAGGGGAACGGATGAGGAAGCGATTTGACTTGCCTGGAAGACGACCGCCACTGAACGAACGGATACCGCTCGCCCACGCTCGCGCACACGCGCCATCATTACACCTTAGTTTCAATGTTCGGGCCCTATCGCTAACCAGTATCGCTTAACTCTGGTCCTGGCTATGCCCGAACCAACACCAGCACTTCGTCCAGAAGAGGTGTTTGACGGGTTCAGGCGACGAAGACGACGAACAGCTTCCAGACACACCCCCTTTCCTCCATGCTGATGTACAAACCTTCGCCTCGGAACAGCGGCGGCGGACAAAGGATGCCGGCAGGAATCTCGATCACGAGGTCGTCGGCGGCGGCTGTGACGACCACAGCGCCGAGGCCGACGGCGGCGACGGACAATGACGACGAGGCCGCAGACGACGACGTCGTCGATGACGCTGGCCACGCCGTCATCGACGATGCGGTTGTCAACGACGCCGACAAAGCCGTCCACGACGAGGCCGCCGACGACGACGTGGTCGTCATCGACGACGGCGAGGCCGTCCGCGACCACGTCGCACGAGAGCAGCCGGGGGCCGCCGCTCTCCTGCGGCGAGGGGCGCCCGCGCCGGTGGGCACCGGCATCGGCGGCGAGGGGCTGCGCGCCCGCGGCGCCGGTGCGTCCCTGGAGCGGGACCTGCCCGCCGAAGGCGCGCGGCGCGACACGCAGCAGGTCGCCGCGGTCGTCGTCGTCGCCGCGGTCGTCGGCGTCGCCGTCGTCGTCGTCGTCGTCGTCGTCCTCGTCCTCGTCGTCGTCGCCGTCGCCGTCGTCGTCGTCGTCGTCGTCGTCATCCTCGTCCTCGTCGTCGTCAACGACCTCGCCGTTGAAGTCATCGTCGACGACCTCGCTGTCAAAGCCGCCGTCGGTCGTCGTCGTCGTCGTCGTCGATGACGCCGTCGACCTCGCCGCCGTCGTCAGCCTCGGCACCGTCGGGGAGTCCGTCTCCGTCTCCGTCGTCGTCGACCTCATCGACCTCGTCGACCTCGTCGCCGTCGTCGCCACCACCGCCGACCTCGACGTCGCCGTCGCCGTCGTCTCCGTCGAGCTCGTCGTCGTCGTCGTCGTCGAGCTCGTGGCCGTCGCCGACTTCGTCGCCGTCCGGCTCGTCGCCCTCGTCGCGGGTGGCCTCCGCCGCGGCGGCGCGGCCTCCCGGAGGCGCACGCCGCCCCCGCCGCCGCCTCCGTGCCGGTCCCTGCGGGGCGGCCGGGCGGGGTCGCCGACGATGTCGCCGACGTCGTCGACGACACGACCGCGTCCACGATTGCGACGGGGACGACAGCCTGGCACCCCTGACCTTCCAGAGAGCTATGTTTTAGCACTGGAGACCTAAAAACTTAAAAAGCCGAGCGAAACAGCCTAAAACCAAGACGTAGAATAGCTTTGGGATAGGTTTTTCAATCGGGTGTTATTTTTTAGCCCTCCTGGAAGGTCAGGGACAAAGGGGGGGAGCGGGTCCCGGAGGAGAAGGGGTCCCAGAATTGGTGTTCCCCGCGTTCGGCAGCCTGGGGCCGGGCGCGCTCGTCTGTTATCCACAGAGCCTTGGCTGGGTCGGGGCGGCAGCGAACTGAAGCAGACGGAGGGGAGGAGAATTGGGGAGGGGTTGGTGGGACATAGATCGGCCCGGGCTGGTCCAATCGCTGCGAAGGTCTTCGCTAATAATCGGGGGTTCGTTGGGCAACGGGGCGCTCACATCTTCTCAGGAGTGTTTTTGGAAGCCGACCCTGGCGTCCGCAGCACAACATCACTACTCTTTAAAGTACCCTGGGCACGGCTGGACTTAGGCCAAAATGACACCCTTCACGAAAGGAGGAACACTCGAGGGTACCTTCCCCCAGAATGCACAAGGACATGCAACAAGCATGAAGGACATCAGGGTAACCCCGCCGAACCGGCCTCGACCTTGTACCTCAGCCCGACCGTATCAAACATAGCACCCCCAGGTACTTTCGCGACGCCAGTGCATCAAGTCCGTCGCGCGTGTTCCATACGGTGCCAGTCGTCGGAAGACGCGCGCTGGCGCAGGGGGGGGACGGCCGTGTACGTCAAGCCTCGCGCGCCGACGGACGGACCGACCGCCCTGGCGCCAACCGTAACGACGCCCGTCTCAACGCGAGGTCCACTGCCCGAGACATGACGCCCTCTTGTGTCAATCCGTAGCCATTCCGGCTCAAGTTGCCAACCTTGCCCAGAGGCTTGGAGCTCGGTTGCTGCCAAGGGGCAGGCTCTAGAGCCGCCAGCTGACCTCGCGTGCCACGCGCGCTCTGCCTGCTGCGATGTTGGTACCGTCTTTTGGATATGCCTCTCCAATCCCCGCAGGACCTATACGTTCTGCAAAGCGTATTTCCCTGGACGTTCTCCCCAGGACAAAGACCATGGGCAGGTACAAGGACAAAGACAAGGACAGGGGCGGAAACGGGCGGCAAGGACTAAGGCCAAGGGCAAGAAGGGAAAGTCTCGTGGGGCGGCCGATGCCGCGGGGGGGGCCTCTTCCGTGCCTCCTGTGCCCGCCGCCGCCGCTGCTCGCCCCTCGTCGCGTGAACCCGAGCAGCCCTTGTTCTATGAGCACTTCATTTTCCTTTGTCTGATGCTGTTCGTGCACGTTGTGGGTCTGATGTCTCTGATGAAAATTTCGGATGCGAGGATGCGTTTGACAACGACGGTGCCTTCGCCCAGCGCGATGACCCCATGGTTACGGCTGCCGACTAAGAATTCCTCATTAAGACTAAGCAGGCATATCTTGAAAGCCTTCGAAGTCTGCCTGCCTTTGTTCGAGAGCAGCAAGAGATTGACCATCTCGTGTCCGAGCTGGCAGATGCCCGTGAGAAGAAGACGCCCATGCTCTCCATCCCTCAGCAGCGTGCCCGTTTGTCCCAGCGAGTTCGGTGGTATGCTAGGAAGGTGGAGAAGGCTGACGTTGCCTTGGAACATGTTGAGCAGGGGCTGTCCGACATTCTTGCTAGGAAAGGTTCGTGGGGGGTCATGCGGGAGCGCTTCCAGACATCATGCGGATTGTGGCAGAGCCGTCTCGATATTCCCCCAGTCCCAGAGCCTGTTGTTGAGCCAGGGCCCAGTGACTTGTCAGACGTCTGCCTCCTCAGGAATCTCCCACAGTCCTCCAAACAGATCCCTGAGGTTGCTCGTGCTTTGGGACAGATGGTTGAGTTGTCCGCTGCGGTTGAGTTTACTCCTGCGTTGGATCGTCCTGTCGCTCGGCCTCCTCGCTCGCCTTCTCGTTCTGCGTCGGCCCAGCGTCGCGGCAGGCAGGAGGTACACCAGCAGTTGCACCAGCCGCCCCCATAGAAGCCGAGTCCCATCCAGCACCCAGAGCGGGCGTGTCACGTTCGCGAGAAGCAGCCGAGGCGCCTCGCAAGAAACCGTCTCTCGCTTCCGAGCAATGGGCCGGCTCTCCCCCAAATGGTTGTGATGGGGAACCTCCTGACAGCGTTGCCGATTTGGACGATGGCGCTACATGTGGCGCGGGGGCCTCATCGGGCCCGCCTGGGCCTCAAGAAGGGAAGGGGCAGCCAAACTGTAGTCATGGTCGACGCTCGTGGGTCCTGCGATCGGTCAATGTCATGAGCAGGACGAACGCAGGGAGGTATTTGACTGCCCACACTCGCCCCCTTTGATGCAATAAGTATTCAGGAATTGCACCGTTCTGCGGAGTGTCTTGATGCTGCTACATCTAGTGCACACCGTCTAGGATTACGTGCATGCGTGCGTCCGAGGGTGGATTGAGCTCTGGGCGTGCTCTGGTTTCTCAATACTCCGGCAGCTTTCCGGGAATCCCCTTGGACTCTATTGTGGTCTTACCACCCACTGGGCGATGCAGCGTTAAGCTCTGGCACGGATTGGTAGACACGGGCACATATTGGTTGAATATTTACTTGCGCGCTGGGGAAGGGTCAGCAGATCGGAATGCGCAATTGCTCATGCAAATGGCATCTGATGTTCGTGCCATCCGCTCCCCCTACATCACATCTGCTGCTTGGAACATGTCAGAATAACTAGAGGCAACAGGGTTTCTAGAGCTCGTGGGCGCATTGTGATTGCCCCTCGTGGTAATACTTATGAGAGCGGTGGTGGCTTCTCTAAGATTGATTATGTTGTTGTCCACCATGTCTTTCATGCAGCTACATGTGGTTATTTCTGCCCCCTCTCATTCTTATGCGCCATCCTGTCGCTCTGCATATCCAGGAATCAGTGGGTAAGGACCTGCTATCAATATGTCGGATGCCTCCTGTTATCCCAGTCCAGCGTTCTATGGGTGCTCACCGCGCCCTCCCCCCCTGGGATTGTTTCCCGCAGACGGCCGACGAGATTGATCCGTCTCCTGAGTTTGAGATGTGGACGCCCTTGTTGGCATAGACGTCTGCGGCCCAGTTTGTTGGCATATAACGCCCCCCCGGCCCTGATGCTTAGAAGAAGTGTGGTGGAAATCCAATCGCATTGAAGGTTTCGGTTGCATCGCTGTTTCCTTGAGGTGTTGTTTCTTCCTTCGAAGGCAAGTTATGGCGGTTTCTTGCCAATCTTCTTGGGGGCCTCTTGCATCTAGAGGGCAAGCAGTCTCGGGGGGCGTTCTAAGCCGCGGCCCCACGCCTTGGGCGTTACTACCCGCCCAAACGAGAGGGCCCACCCTCCCTCGGACTGGTGGTGGTGGCGCAGCTATGCGCGACTTCTTCGCCATCTGGATCTCGGCTCTCTTCTCTGGTTGGAGAAACCTTCGTCTGAAATGGGCGGCAGCTCTGGAGAAGGCAGCCCCGGCCAAGCGTCATGAGAGTTGGCGCCCTTGGGCGATTCGGTCGTTTCGAAATTGCGGGGGCTCCGCTTCGCACCGATTCGTCGAGGGCAGTGCGAATTGGAATGCTAGCGACGTCATTCAGAACCCGTCCGTGGACGACCCACCTCGTGGCGCCGCAGCTCCTCGCGCAAAGGCGCGCGGGCAGTTCTGGCGCGGAATGCGGTGGCCCATGCGGCCTGCTGAGCAGTGCTCAAACCAGTGCGAGATCCTGTCCTTACCAACTGTTCTACCTGATGACCTTGCACCCTCGCTAATGCCGCCCCTGGAACGCTACCGCGAGATGCGCCGTATATATCTGGCTCGTGCTTCTGCCGGGCTGGACTGGATTCACCCTCGCTACCATGCGTGGCATGCGGACGAGTCCCTGTGATTACTGTTCAAGCTTTGGTTTGCTATCCTACGTTGTGGGCGTTGTCCGACAATCCTGGCCAGGCTTGTAGTTGACCGATTGCCGAATCCTGATGAGGGTGACCGCGCGGTCGCGTTGTTCACCACCTTTGTGCGCACCTTCACCCGACACTTTAGACGCGCGCATGGCACTGAATGGTCCCAGCGTCAGACTCGGCCGCGTGTATGCGGAGTGCGCAACCATTATTGTCAACAGCGCGTGCGGCGCATGAGTGTCTTGGCTGAGTACGCTACGTTGCGAGGTTTGTCTGTTTGGGCCCTCCGCTTGGACATTCAGATGGCTTCTGGGCAGGTTCGTCATCGTTTGCTCATCCAGCGTTGCCAGCAGTTTCACTACAAGCCCGCTCTCTTGAGAGTGCTGCTGGGCATGCGCCGATCCCCGCGTGCTCCTACTGCGCGCCGAAACGTCGGATCATGAATGCCTGCTGCGATCGCTATTGTTGCTGGCTGCTCCTTTGCCGATTTGTGCATGCGCACCATGCTTATGCCAGAGCTGGGTTTCTCACTTCGCGCGCGCCCAGAATTGCACCTGGGAGCGGTTGCTGATGACGTCCAGGTCAAAGGAGTGGGCCCTGAAGCTGAGGTGATGCACGCGGGCCCAAATGCCTCGCATCCCCTCGCGGGTAAGTTGGCACGCGCCACCCGCCTCTCCCTGTCCGGGCCTTCATTTGCGCCCCTTGCTTCGGATGCGTCCCTGGGCAGAAGACTCGCAACTGAGACTCCTCGGTTCGTTGGTGCCGTGCGCTCCTCCTCTGGGAACTTACGCATCGACGTTCAGGTTCGTCGTGGGCGTCGCCCTCGCGTTAAGCTGAAATCTAGGATTCTGGAAGCCGCGCAGATGGCCCGCCGTCTTGTCGGATTGCGGCGTGCAGGGGCTCAAGCGCAGGGCATCATCAATACGAACCGTCGTTCGACGGCCACCTTCGGCATTGACGTAGCGGGCCTAAGTGCTTACCACATTAAACAGATCCGAAACGTATATCACGTCGGTCTCGGAAAAAAGGCAAGCGCCGATCCGCCACCCATGGATTTTGCCTTGCTTGGAGTGGCGGGCCCAGCGCAAAACGCTAACGCCGAAGTAGTTCGTCTCTGGACTGCATCTAGGTGGATGTCTCTATTACTTTGGGGCATTATTGATCGCGCCCTGCAGGAGGCCATCAACGCAGTCACCCATCAGACACCTTGGACTTCCATCCAGGGCCCTGGTGCTATTGTGGTGGCTACCTTGGTCAGGACTGGGTGGCCCTCTGAATCCCCGACAGTCTGGCATGCCGCAATTGGAATCAGTCAAGCCATGTCGTCTACTTCCCCTCTTGAGATTGCGGCCTACGTGGGTCGGGCAGCCCGCGTCTGGGCTCGACAGCAAGCGCCTGACGGACACCCGCTGTACCACTATCTTGCTGAATCCTCCTTTTCCTGGGCCCCACCATGGCATTGCTGAGCAGGAGAACTTCAGGTTCGAGCGATCTCAAGCATCGTGTTTTGCGTACCTTCTTGTCAGGGGGTATATAGTTTACGCGCCAGTGCCCTTTGTGGCAGTTTTCCTGTAAACCCGAGCTTCCACGCATTTCATGGATGTGGTGGTCTGTCAAATTTTCGGCGCTGGTTTGGTGCTTCGCCAGCCCGGAAGTCTTGTAGGGACCAGTCTAAGGATAACCCTGTCTGGACCTCAGCCCTGGTTCCTGGCCCACGTTGTTCCTACTTCCTTGGCCCTCTTTTCCCCGATCCCGTGTGGGAGGTCGCCCGTGAAGGCCCCCTCTTCTCCTCGCCTGCCTATGTCGACGGCTCAGATATTTGTGGACCACCACCGCTTACTTTATTGGCGGGATGGTGTCTGTGTTTTGTTGTCTGGACCTAGGCTGAACGCTTCGGCCTATGGGGCATGCCCATACATGGTCCAGGATGTCCCAGGTGCGGAGTTGTACGTTTTCTCCTGCTACTTTTCGCACGCTTCTCCCAGCCTTGAATATGAGTACGTCACTGATGCGCAGTATTTGATTGACAAGTGGCAGCTAGGTTGCGAGGCCACTAACCACGGATGGGGTGTTCACTGCTCTCTGTGGCGGGAGGTCCACCGTGTTGCGTCAGACATAGGAAAACAGCTAATTCGCATGACTAAGATACGCTCCCCCTGGTTGTGCCCTCGCTGGGGTACATTATGAAGGCAATTACGAGGCCGACCGCCTGGCTAAGCTAGGTGCAACCCTCCACTATAAATACCAGGTGATGTTGGATAGAGTCTCTCGTGCGGCAGCGCTTGTTGCTCATGTCGCACAATACGCCGGGCACTGTGCAGCTTGGATCTTCAATCTGCCCAAGAATGTTCGGCAAACTGATTATGACCCTCCTGCTCCCTCTATCCCCTCTCTGCTCCTCTCGGGTGTTCGGGAAGGGGCTCTGCATGAGCATTCCTGGGGCCCCAGTATCGGTAGGCTCCGTTGTGCAAGTTGATGGTCCAGCTCTGTGTCCAAACAGCATCTGCTCCGAACCACTTGCACCAATCCCACAGGATGGGGTTCATGTTCTGCGCAGATTGTGTGATTGATTGTCTGCGACCGATGCAGTCGCTATAGCCAGAAAAATGTGGTTAGATTTGAAGCATGGGGTCAAGGGTCGTCCCCGCGCCAAGGGCGCCACCCTCGTTCCCGTGAGGTCATCGGATCGGTCGTACTTATCAGCCATACCGATCTTGTGTATGCCTTTCCCCATCTGCATGATGCTTCCACCTTTCGTTGTTTCTGTTGTCCTGACTGGCTTCACGAAGCCCTTTAGTAAGTTATCGGAGGTGGATGGCTGATGGTTTGAAGGAGATGGTGGGGAGGACCTGTACGCTCTGCAAGCGTATTCCCTGGTCGTTCTCCCCAGAACCTTGACACAGTCAAGACACAATGCTCTGCATGTGCGGTGTTGGTCTCTTGGATATACCTCTCAGTATTTTGCTGTTCCTTTCCTCCGCGCCCAGCTGCGCCCAGGCTCGCAAAGAGACAGAAGAAAACAAATACTCGCCCTGTCTCTTATTGTGCTTGCCTGATGCATCTTTCCCGTGCCGTAGTGGACTGGTTTGGATGGTAACTGTTTGTATCCTGAGAGCCCCTGCAAGCCTCGACGCAACCACGAGCGTCGAGCCGCGACGGAACCAGACAACCGTAGCGTCTGGCTCGTGTTTGTGGGCAGCCTGTCTTTGGTATCTATGGTGCTGCGCCCAGGCTCGCAAAGAGACAGAAGAAGAACAATGCTTCTCTTCTTCTCTCTTTTGTTGTTTGGTTTATGCTCCTCTCCCGTGTCATTCCAGGAGATGTCTGCATTGTACTGGCTGTGCCCTGGGAGCCTTTGTAGCCCCCGCAGCAACCACGAGCGCCGAGCCGCGACGGAACAAGACACCCGTAGCGTTTTGCTCGCGTTTGTGGCAGCCTGTCCTTGCCATATTGGGTTAGGGGAGGCGAAGATCAAAGTGAAGCGGAGGGTACTTGCATTTGCACCTGGTGTTGGCAGCATGGCTGCCATTGAAGACCAAGGTTTGAATCCGTCCCAAGACACGGTACCAGCAGTTTTGCGCTGCTTGTTTGCTGTCTGAGGCCCTCGCGGTTTCGGTCCCTTGTCTTTTCGGTCGGTCCTTTCGGTCGGCTCTATCTCGGGTCCTGGGTCCGTCCCCCGTCCCTTTCGGCCTTCGGGCCCTTCGCTGTTCGTCGGCTTTGCAGGGAACTGAGGCCAGTCGTCAGCCCGCGTCCAGAAAAAAACCTCTTGTGTCCGATCCCCCTGAGGGCGCATCTGTAATCACGAAACTATTCCAGGACTTTGTGTTGTTCCGTCGCGGCGCGGCAAAGGCGATCTGCACGCGCGCTCTGGTAGACAGTGGCGCACGGCATACTCATTCACCGGCAGCAAGAGAAAAGACGGCGGGGCGCGGCTGCGGACAACAGGCGGAGAAGGATAAGGGCACCCACGATCGTCCAGGACAGGCGGACAGAAGCGGACTGGATCAGGGTAAATGGGAAGACCCCCCCAGGAGCCCTAGGAGCACGCTGCAGTAAACGCCCAGACTCGATTGGCATTGAAAGGAAGTATGAGAGAAGGGGGGGCAGCGAGGGTGCAGACGGACAAGGAGGCGATCAAGACTGGGAAGCGAGGAGGTGTTCGGCAAAGTTGTCATTGTGAATGCGAAGCCGGCCAAGACCATCGCGAAGGCCATCCCAGCCAAGGCCCGCAAGGACAAGTTCTGAGGGCCTCCCTGGGCGCGCGTGGTCGCCTCGTTCATCCCACTAGGGGCTGGTCGAGGCATCTGGAGGAGGGGGAGATCTCCGCAGCCCACGTTTCGATCTCCTCCTGGCGAGGGCCACGACTAGAAAAGTAGAACACAGCATACACTGAAACTTTCGGAGGTCCGCGCAGACTTCTCGGATCGGCGCTGCCCACACCCCCTCCTTCGCGCGCGGAGCACGAGAGGGGCGGCGCCGGAGGCGAAATCAGGGGGTGCTCCAGCGCGGATCCGAGAAGTCCGCGCGGACCGCCGAAAGTTCATGTTGACGTCATTGTTTGTCCCTCGATGCACGCTTCCGCGCGTGATGGGATGGGATCTGCCTGCCTGGTCTGCCCTACCTGCCTATCCCCCCCCCTGGCGGCTCCTCGAGGACTCTCTCCGGCGACGCCTGCTGCGCGGCTCATCCTGGAAGTGGCGGCCGCTCATGGCGGGCCTTGGGCGGGGCGGCGACGCGGACGACGACGAAAACGGCCGACGACGCAGACGCCGACGCCGACGCCGACGCCGACGCCGCCGACGACGACGACGACGACGACGACGCCGACGACGACGACGACGACGCCGACGGCGACGGCAGCGGAGGCAGCGGCTCTGACGATGGCGCGGTGGCGACGATAACGACGTTCTTCTCCCTTCTCCTGCTCGTTGCGGGGGGGCGGAGGGAGGAGGTGGATGAGCGGGGGGGGCAGGGGGACATTGCGGGAGAGGATGGGAAGGCAGGTGGCAGGGGCCAAGAGTGCACTTTCAGGCGAAAGGATGGAGGAAAGAGAGGGAGGAGGAATGATGCAGGCGGATGGAGACAGGAGGACTACAGGCAGGACGACGCGGAGCTGGTAGCATTAGCAGGCCGCGCGCTGCTGCCACAGTGGCACATGCCATACTCGCAGTAGAAGAGGGTGAAGAGAATCCAGGCAAGGACGAAGAGCAGCAGCAACAAGAAAATCATGAGAGACATAGACAGGAAGATCAACAGGATCAGGAGAAACAGGGTTAGAGTCAAGAGCATGGCACCCCTCCGCCTCCTCCAAGCCCTCCTCTTCCTCCTCCTCCTCCTCCTCCTTCTCCTCCTCCTCCTATCCTCCTCATCCGCCTCCCCCTCGTCCTCCTCCTCCGCCTGGTAACCTGGGCATCTGGCGGCCGTACGTGGCGATTCGGGCACACCCGAAATGCTCTCGCCGAGGCGCAACTCCTGAAAAGCGTCCCAAGGCGATGAATCATCCGAGAACCAACGACAACTCACTGAAGCTCCCTCATCCCTCCCCCTCCCAACCCCCCCTCCCCCTTCCTCCTTGTATCAATGCGGGGTCAGGTTAAAGGCTTCCGTGTCCAGCTCGGGGTGGTCGCGTGTCGTTCGGTATAGCTCGGACTCTCGAGAGCAGCAAGAGGTCAATCCTCCACATCATTATCCTCCTTCTCTCCTCCTCCTCCTCCTCCTCCTCCTCCTCGTCCTCCTCCTCCTCCTTCTCCTTGTCCTTCTCCTGCTCCTGATGCTCCGCCTCCTTCTCCTCCCTCCCTCCCTCCCTCCCTCCCTCCGTCCCACCCTCGCTCCTTCCCTCGCCCCTGCCCAGGAAGCGACAGGGCGCCATCCAAAACTTCCCTCTGCCTCCCCCCCCCTCTTGCAACCCTCCCCTCATCCCTCCCCCCTTTCCCCCCCTTCCCCCCCTCCCTCATATCCTGAACACTCCCCCCCTCCCTCCCTGACTTCTGTCCTCTCCCCGCCCCCCGGGATCCGATGTATTGTTCTTCCCAACATCCTGTGTTGGGTTCTCGTTTTGATTCCGCCACCGGCACGTTGAAGCGTGCTAGAATACCAAGTACTCTCTGCTAGGATTTCTGTAATCTTCTAAGGGGCCCCCCCTCTCCCCGCCGCACCACGCCGCGCGCGCCGGCCCTACTCCTGGGGGGGGGCCCTGGGAGGCCATGGCGCCTCCTTGGGGCTCTCCAATTTTCCTTGGCGGTTTAAGAGGGCCACGAGTCGCCGAACGATCGCCCGAAGACGCCCAAGATGGCCACACGATGGCCAAGAGGCCTCCACGAGGCCCCAAGATTCCTCCAAGTGCCCTCCAAAGAAAGCCCCGAGATGCAATCATTACTAATGTTCTTTTGGTTCTTGAAGGATTGTGGCGTTCTCACCTTTTTCCGACGCTCCAGGTCGGCCCAAGATGCGCTCAAGTCTATGCCAAAACAGCCCTAAGAGCCTCCAAGAGGGCCCCATGACGGCCTAAGAGCGCCCCCAGACGGCCCAAGAGGCGCCCAAGACGGCCCAAGATGGCCCCAAGACGGCCCCCAAAGGGGCCGAAGAGAGGGAACGCGAACCGAAAATCCAAGCCTTCCGCCCCAAGAGGCGTCCAGGAGGCTCCCAGAGGCGCCCAAGAGCCCCCCAAGCCCCCAAGAGGCCAAACAGAGGAGGCCCCCAAACGGCCCCCGAGAGGCTTCAAAACTGCCTCAAAGAGGCCCCGACAGGCCTCCCGCGCGATCCCAACGAACATCCAATAGGTTCATACCCACAACCCAAGCACGGTGGCGGGACTTGCCGTAGCCAACTGGATAGAGCACTGCGGTCTGGACTCACCTGCTCCCCCTCCACCTGCCTCCTCCTGCGCTGCCCCCTGGGTGGCTGCGTACTGTGCAACTGTCACCACTACGCGGACCCAGACGGGACCTCGCGGCTCCCAGGGTGTTTGCGAGTTGCGCAAGTGTCGCCACTTTCGTGGGCTCCTGGGAGGTCCAGCGGAGTGGAGTTGCACGCGGACTCAGACGAGACCTCGCGGCTCCCTGCGTGGCTGCGAACTGCGTAACGTTCGCCACTTTCGTGGGTTCATGGGAGGTCCAGCGGAGTGGAGTTGCACGCGGACTCAGACCAGACCTCACGGCTCCCTGGGTGGCTGCGAACTGCACAACCGTCGCCACGTTCGTGGGCTCCTGGGAGGCACGTTGGAGGTGAGGGCAACGCAAATCGCTTCGAGACCATGCGGCTCCCTCAAGGGCTGCGAACTGTACAACTGTCGCCACGTTCGTGGGCTCCTTGGAGGCACGTTGGAGGTGAGGCGCGATGTGTTATGTTGGGAGGAGGTTGTCTACAAATAGTCGCCTCGCGTGGAGAGTTGGTTGGGTACGTCTCAAGTAATTCACAAAACGGGGTCTTCGGAAGTCCCGACCCTTTCCCCCCTGGCTGGTTTGGCCTCCCAGGTTGTTTTCTGCCAACCCTGGGGCCTGGTGAGGGCCTCCAGGAACCCAAAACGAACGGACGAGAACGTCCCGACCTGATATTTTATCACGACGCGAGCATTAGTGGGTCTCCCTCCCCCAACCCAACAACGGCCGGTCCCCCCGGACAACGGCCGACCAGGGCACGAACCGACTATCATCACTCGCGATAACGCCCGTGACCAGCCCCGCCCCCTTCCCCCTCCCGCCCCCTGCCCACGTCACGATCCGCGCCGGTGCCGTCTGGCAGCGAGCCGTTCCTGGGTCTCCCCAGACGGCGCCAGGGCGAATCGTGACGTGACCCGCCCCCGCCCCCCCTTTCTAAAACGAGGCGAAGATCGGGACAAAATCGGATCGGGATAACTCGAAATCTCTGAGAATCGGCGGGTTTGAAGGATGTATTGGGCGCCGCGGCCGCTCCAGAGCGTTCCGGAACGCTCTGAGAGCGCTCCAGAACGCTCTGGAGCGATTTATCCCGATCCTAGCCCTGTTTGACTTCCCCCACCCGGTCACGCCGATCATTGCCAGGGGATACACAGAGGTCCCCACGGCGCGCCAACAGGCGCGCGCCGCGCCTCGAGCCGCTCCTCAGGCACCCATGTGGCGGCGGGCTCCGCCGCGGGGGCCCGGCAGGTGCGCCGGCCGGAGGGCGGCACAGAAGGGGGTGCTGCGGGCGGTGGGGAGGGGGAGTCCAGGAAAACGAAGATGAGGAGGAGGAGGAGGAGGAGGAGGAGGAGGAGGAGGAGGAGGAGGAGGAAGAGGATGAGAAGGAGCAGGAGGAGGAAGAAGAAGAAGAAGCACGCCGAGGCGGACCAGTCACGTGACTAACGACTCGGCCCAGCAGGGCGGCGCTCGGGCTCAGCCTAGCCCATTACCGCTTGCGCCACCTGCTGGGCCCTCCTGTGCCCGAGCCAGCTCCCGCTGGCGCACTCTCTCCTGGAGTGCCGCCAGCCGTGATTCGTACTGATACGAAGAGGCTGGGTTGGGCCTCGCGGAGACACTGGTCGTCTCTCTCCGAGGGACGCGACGTGTGGGCGCCACTCGGACGGCAGGAATCACAGAATCGATGGAGCGCTGGAGCTTGCGATGGGGCCCGACGCCCCGCCTCAGGTTCCGAAGAATCTCAAGACCCTTGGGCGTCGGCCTGATGCAAGGTGACCTCAACTTGAGACGGCGCCTCTGTTGGGCCCACGCTCCACATTTCGTACAAACAAAAAGAGGTCGGTCCACACGATCCGGGACCGACTCGCACCGTTCGCCAGACTGGTGCACAGCAACAAGACAGTGGCCGTTCGGCCGAGCGAAAAACGCACTGAGGAAAGCTGGGGTTCCCCTGCAGCCCACTAAGGGCCAATCAACAGCATTGTCATGCAGAACAGAGAGGCAATACTTACACTGAACTCCTAACTCCGTCCTACACCAGTCGTGATGTCCCTCAGTCCTCACGTTTCTACTCCTCTTGAATATCGGTGCCCTCCTCCACCTCTCCTCCTTCTCGTAGCAGGGCAGGGTGGCGGATATTAGACGCACGAGGTTCCTCGTCGCCTCCTCGTGCAGCTCAATCTGCTTACAGAATTCATGACGAGGAGCGGGGTGAAGAGAAACAGCCATCTTCGCGAATCTGTCAGCAGCAATGTTCGCATCTGTTATTCGCCTCTGTTCAACATTTAGCAAAGCATATTGTTCGCTCGTGCGATGTACTTTAACATGTTCTGCTGCTGTCAGATATTCACGACCAGGAAGGCTCTGACCAAAGACCTGAACACATGCATAAATGGAACGTGATTCTCTCTGGCGCTGAGGAGACTTCCGCGCCTCGAAGACTGCGCCAAGGAAATCAAAATACATGGTTGCAGGCCGATCTGCGACTTGGCCACAAAAAGCCAATCCCATATACTCAGCAACCACTGATGTCTGGGGCAGAGCGGGAGGAACAGCCCCATATACTGCAAGAATCGGATCTGGGCCAGACGGGTTCAACAATGCTATTGCCCACCCAGCCCTCTGTAAATCACGAAGAGCAGGTTTGCTGCAAGAACCATCGGGAGCAAGTTCGATCACCTGCGCCTCTGGGCATGCAGATTCCACCATCTCTTCAGGGTTCAAATCCTGCACCTCGCCGGCCATATTCACGACGAAAGCTTCATGACCAGGTGCCAATTGTGGAATCTCCTCGTCGAGATATTCAAACACTCCATGCTCAAAAAACCCCGAGCTAT